AGACCAGCAGAGGACAGGCTGCTCCGTCTCTTCAGTGTGGACCAATCAGAGGACAGGAAGCAGAACCTCAGAACTTCCTGTCCTCTGTTGGAGACAGAAGGTCCAGTTGGACTGAGGCCGGTTCTGTCAGGGTTCTGGTTCTGTCCCACATCAGGACGTCCTTCAGTCCACGTGGACATGAAGCTCTGAGGTCATGGGTTGATGGAGCTACTGGACCAGGCTGGTTCTGGAGGATCCAGAACCAGCCTGGTCCACTCACAATGGTGGTTCTGGACCTCTGAGGCCCGGTTCTGATGGGTTCTGGAAGGATTCAGGGTTCTGATAGAGGTCAGGGGTTAAATGTTTCTGAATCAGAACCAGCTACATGTCAATGTCAACTAGTAAATAAAAACCAACCAGAACCAGAACCAATCTAGTTCAGAAAGAAAAGATGGAACTGGTTCTGATCCAAACAGTTCCTCTGCTTGGCCTCTAAACATACATTTAAACCACTGACCTTTGACCTTTAGCCAGACTTGTTTCTCCATCAGGACGTCTCCCTTCCTGTTGTAGACTCTGCAGCTGTAGATCCCTCCGTCTCCATCAGTCGGCCATGACAGAGTCAGACTGAGGTCTCCAGTCTTCAGCAGGTTTTCATCCATCCTGGTTCTGGTTCTGTAGATCTTGTCCTGTTCTCCAGGCTGATCAGAACCGTTCTGATACACATGGACGGTCCTGTTGTCTCCGTCCCTCCACTCCACTTTAGCCACAGACAGTCTGTATTTACAGAACCACAGGCGATGTGGGACCTTAAAGGACAGCAGGACAGACTTCACCCCTGATTCCACCTCCTTCTGTTCTGGGGCTGAGAGACAACAGAGGACAAGATGAGTTGGACAGACAGCAGCAGCTCTGATGGTCACATGACTCTCTCCTCCTTGTCTCTGTGTCTCCTGGAGGACTCTCTGAGGACAGAGACATGTGTCCATGTCCCCCTGTGACCCAGGGGACACATTTCTTCATGTGTCCCCCGACATGTGATCAGGGGACAACACATGTCCCCTGTTGGAGCTGGTTGCTGCCAACCGGCTGCTGCCTGGCAGCAAACCACCAAGCTCTGACCTGAGTGAAGTTGGTCCCCCACCTTCTTCAAATCAGACAAAATGGGTGTCAAACATTTGTGCTGCTTTGGTTTTGAAGATATTAAAAGAAAAGTTTCAAGCGGTCATCCAAGGTCAATGAACACCTGTTCATGGTGAAACTGTGAATTTCATTTAAATTACAAGTTGCTAACCTATGAACATGAATAATTTAATTTTAACCTGGAAGAAATTCAATTCAAACTTGGTCTTATTTAGAATGAAGAGGTTGGTACAACCATAGACATAATATAAGGATAGACGCTGTTAAGGAAGATTATCTAAATTAGTTAACTTTGGCTTTCTCTTCCTTTATGATCCTGGGTCCTCTCGCGGCAGCCACATGTGGTCACTCAGAAGAAAACAACAATGCGTGTTGACGTCACAGAATTGCAGTTTAATCCAATAGAAGACAACGCATACAATTACAACAGGAACTGCAGAACAACAGAGACATACATTCATTTACCTGACATAAATGGAAAGAAGGAAGAATGAAAGAAAGAAAAGCAAAGATGTCTTTGGAGAATTGCAAGAGCAAATCTGATTTCTTACTCCATGTGGAAAGTTTTATCTTCTTATCTTTAATTTATTCAAATAAGGCACATCTTTGCTCATCCAACCAGGAGCTATCTCTGACCCTTTGTCTGAAGCCGGGAACCCCTGTTGTGTTTACGGCTTTTCACAGATGAGTGTGAAAAGCTACAACCGGGAAAGCCGGGGAATGGCAGCGTTTTTGACATTGCTCTGACATTTGGAAAAATATGGTTTACTTATT